TATCATCATTATCATCATTATCATCATCATTATCATCATTATCATCATTATCATTATCATATCATTATTATCATCATATCATTATCATCATCATTATCATTATCATCATCATTATTATCATCATCATCATTATCATCATTATCATCATCATCATTATCATTATTATCATCATTATCATCATCATCATTATCATCATCATTATCATCATCATCATTATCATCATCATCATTATCATCATTATCATTATCATCATTATCATCATCATTATTATCATCATTATCATCATCATTATCATCATCATTATCATCATCATCATTATCATCATTATCATCATCATCATTATCATCATCATTATCATTATCATCATTATCATTATTATCATTATCATCATTATCATCATTATCATCATTATTATCATTATCATCATCATCATCATCATTATCATTATCATCATCATTATCATCATCATCATTATCATCATCATTATCATCATCATTATCCCCATGTCCCCCCACCTACAGTATCCATCCTCCCACCCCTCCCTCCCTAACCCGCCCATCATGCCCCACCACATCTGTCGCTTCAACACTGCCATCACACAGGCCCAGACCCCACGCGCCGAGACTTCTCATGCACACCTCGCAGCCGTCCTCGCAGCAGCTGGTCACTGGAAGGTTCCAGAGACCCAAGGACACGGGTGCACCCCACCATCCTCCCATAGTCAGCCTCCCTCATGGCTAATCCTCCACCTCCAACACCACCATCCCACGGGGCATCAGTTCAAGTCCCAGCTGCTCCACTTCTATGCAGCTCCCTGCCTGTGGCCAGGGAAAACAGCAGGACGGCCCACAGCCTTGGGACCCTGCACCTGCATCGGAAACCCAGAAGAAGCTCCTGGCTTCAGATTGGCCCAGCTCTAGCCATTGCAGCCATTTGCAGAGCGAATCAGCAGATAGAAGATTCTCTCTCCAGCTCTGGCTTTCGAATAACTAAATAAATCATTATTTTAAAAAGAAGGCGGAGTGTGCTGGCTAGCTCCAAGCCTGAGGGAGAGTGAGAGTTTCTGGGGTGAAAGATGGCGGCAGCCACCTCAAAGGGATTCTCAGTCCAGATAGAGGCGGGGCAGAGCCGGGGTCCCTGAGGAGCCACCCAGGGCTGCTCTGCCCTTAGGGGGCTCCTCCTGCTGTCATGGGGCCTCACTGGGACACAGGGACTTGTCCAGCAGAGCCTGGGGCCATGTGTCCTCGGAGCGCTGGCAACTTCCCTGCCTTGGGGGAGGGACCACTGCACCCCCACCCAAGTTCCAGGCCCTCCCAGGTGCAGGGCAGCCCCCATGCCACCGGAACCTCCAATCTTGGCAACCTCCAGCCTGAGGATTAGGACCTTTGCCCAGCTGCCTTGCCACCAAGAATGAGGGCAAGCAAATCCCACTCAGAGTTGCACACTGGGGGGTCGCCCCTCATCAAGGGTTCAGGGGTGACCCACCTCCTGGATGAGGCCAACGTGAGCCCAGAAGGCTCCTTTTAAATGGACCATCACACTGACACTCGGACCAGTGGAATAACGGGAACCCCCCAACCTTGAGGCTTCCAGGCGGGAGGGTGGCACCTGCTCCTCACGCCACCTGGCAGCATTTGCATGCTTGAATATTCATGAGCTTCGACAGACCACTTGATGTCCACTCGAGTCCACTCTGGCCTTATGAGGGCCGTGTTGGTGGTGTGGCATGCTGACACCACATCCCCTTCTGGAGGGCCTGGCTGCTCGCCTCTTACTTTTTGGAAGATTTTATTTATTTATTTATTTATTTATTTATTTACTTACTTACTTATTTATTTATTTATTTATTTGAAAGACAAAAAGACACGGAGGAAAAGAGAAACAGAATTCTTGCACCCACTGGTTCACTCCCCAAATGGCCAGAGACAAAGCAAGGAGCATGGCTCAGGTCTCCCACGCACATGCAGGGGCCCAAAGCTTTGAGCTGTCGTCCGCTGCTCTCCCAGGCCTTGCGCAGGGGACTAGATGGGAACAGGAGAAGCTCGGACCCTCCCGCTCCCCAGCCTGCCCCCTGGATGCCCCCAGCCTCCCCAGCCTGCCCCCCTGCTCACCTCCTGCTCCCCAGCCTGCCCCCCTGCTCACCTCCTGCTCCCCAGCCTGCCCCCCTGCTCACCTCCTGCTCCCCAGCCTGTCCCCTGCTCACCTCTTGCTCCCCAGCCTGCCCCCTGCTCACCTCCTGCTCCCCAGCCTGCCCCCTGCTCACCCTCCTGCTCCCCAGCCTGCCCCCTGCTCACCTCCTGCTCCCCAGCCTGCCCCCTGCTCACCTCCTGCTCCCCAGCCTGCCCCCTGCTCACCTCCTGCTCCCCAGCCTGCCCCCTGCTCACCTCCTGCTCCCCAGCCTGCCCCCTGCTCACCTCCTGCTCCCCAGCCTGCCCCCTGCTCACCTCTTGCTCCCCAGCCTGCCCCCTGCTCACCTCCTGCTCCCCAGCCTGCCCCCTGCTCACCTCCTGCTCCCCAGCCTGCCCCCTGCTCACCTCCTGCTCCCCAGCCTGCCCCCTGCTCACCTCCTGCTCCCCAGCCTGCCCCCTGCTCACCTCCTGCTCCCCAGCCTGCCCCCTGCTCACCCTCCTGCTCCCCAGCCTGCCCCCTGCTCACCTCCTGCTCCCCAGCCTGCCCCCTGCTCACCTCCTGCTCCCCAGCCTGCCCCCTGCTCACCTCCTGCTCCCCAGCCTGCCCCCTGCTCACCTCTTGCTCCCCAGCCTGCCCCCTGCTCACCTCCTGCTCCCCAGCCTGCCCCCTGCTCACCCTCCTGCTCCCCAGCCTGCCCCCTGGATGCCCCCAGCCTCCCCAGCCTGCCCCCTGCTCACCTCTTGCTCCCCAGCCTGCCCCCTGCTCACCTCCTGCTCCCCAGCCTGCCCCCTGGCTCACCTCCTGCTCCCCAGCCTGCCCCCTGGATGCCCCCAGCCTCCCCAGCCTGCCCCCTGCTCACCTCTTGCTCCCCAGCCTGCCCCCTGCTCACCCTCCTGCTCCCCAGCCTGCCCCCTGCTCACCTCCTGCTCCCCAGCCTGCCCCCTGGCTCACCTCCTGCTCCCCAGCCTGCCCAGCATGTGGGATAGGGGGCAGTTAGCCACCATCCCAGGCTGCTCTGCAACAGCACAGCCGCCCGGCTGGACCATGACCCCGGGCCACTCCTTCCGGTCAGGAGAGTTGGTGTCACAGCCACTTGTGGTTTTGGGGTGGCCAGTGGACAGCAGCCTTTGCAGCTGAAGGCTTGGCCAAGCGGCACCTGTCACACCTACACACGGTGCTCCACCCACACGGCCAGGTCCACAGCGCTGCCCGCTGTGTCCAGGAGTGGGACATGGGCAGACGGACCTTCAGCCAAGTCCTCCTGACACCACTGCCCCTGGAGGGGAAACAGCAGCCACCAGAGGAGCCTCAGCCTGCTCGGGTAGGAACCTGGAGAGAGGCGAAATGCGGGCCACCGCTGCCCAAGCCAACACCTCCCCCACAGGGAACCCCAACAAGTAGAGGGGTTGTGCTCCGACAGCCAGCGTCTGACTCCCTCCGCCACTCACGCTGCACCTCATGCCGAAGCCAGAAACCCGGGGAGACACCAGAGAAATGAAAACCCAAAAACGGCAATGCGCGCGTGGATACAAGGGCATGGGCCGGAATCCTCAGCAGCCAAGCTCGGGATCCGCGCTGTGGCACAGCGGGTAAGGCCAGTGCCTGCGACTCCACCATCCCCAGTGGGCGCCGGTTCCAGTGCTGGCCACTGCAATTCCCATCCAGCTCCCTGCTCATGCACCTGGGAAAGCAGCAGGGGACGGCCCCAGTGCTTGGAGCCCTGCACTCCCGTGGAAGCCCCAGATGCAGCTCCCGGCCAGTGTGGCCATCTGGGAAGCGAATGAGTGGGAGGACGGCCTCTTCCCTCCCCCAATCAAAATAAACAAATCTTTAAAGAATGAAACACACAATCCAGTGCAAAAGAGAACAGGTGGCCACCACCACCATGATAAAGGCCAGCGCATCCCTGCGCACACCGGCACCTCCCAGATCCAGGGCTGGGAGGGTCTGGCTGGCTTCCCAGCACCCTGAGCGCACGGCCTGTGTCTGGGGGGCTGCAGGCACTCTGCAGGCGGTGGCACGGCCCCGCGGGGACCCTGAGAGGAGAGGGGTGCGTGCAGGGTCGCCCGCTCTTCCAAGGCCTCCGTGTGTGCGAGGCCGGGCGCGCACACACCGCAGCAGCCCTCGACAAAGTCCAGCCAGAGAAGGGACACGGAGCGGGTGCGGGCAGGCCCGGCTCAGCCCCGAGCGGCTCGCCAACTCCTTGGGCAGCAGAGGCCGGACACCACGGGGCAGCAGAGGCGCACGCCACGGGGCAGGGGCGGGAGAGCCCGGCGTGGGCAGCGCCCGCCTCCCCGCGCCCCGCGCACACCCTCGCTGCCCGCCGCGGGCCCCGGGCGGCCGCAGGTGGACGCGCGCCCGCGGGCGGGGGTCCGGCCGGGCCGCGCGCCTCCCCCGGAACTCGGCCGTGCCATTCCCATGATGCCCAGCCCCGGGCACGGCTTCCGGAGCGCGGCCGCCGCCGCGGGTAGGTCGCGGGGAGGGGGCGCGCGGGCCGCCCCGCCCCCGGCCCCGCCCCTGCCGCGCTGCCCACGGCGTCCACGGCGTCCCCGGCGAGGGGGCGGCGGCGGCCCGGCCGGACGGCCCGGGCCGAGGGCGGAGCGCGCGGGCCCCGCCGCCTCCCCGGGGACGCCGGCGCGGGGCGCGCGGGGCCGAGGGGGGCGGGCGGGCGCCGCGGGGCGCAGCAGGCCGTGGAGGCGAGGGGGGCGCGCCCCCGGCCCCCCGGGAGAGGCGCAGGTGGGGGCCGCGGCGGGGAGACGCTGGCCTGCGCCCCGGCGGCCCCCGGAACCCGGGAGTGGCCGAGGCCTGCGGGCCGCGGGGCTGCGGTTCACGCCCTGCGCCAGGCGGAGCTTCCGGGAGGGGATCCTCGGGAAATCTCGGCGGGATAGCGGGACGCGACCTCACCTTCCCCGGGGAGGTGCCCGCCGTTACCTGGCTGCAGCCAGAGCTCGCGGCTCCAGGTGCAGGGCAGAGCCTGGAGTGGACCCCGACCCGCAGAGGGGGCTGCCGGCGCCGGGGTGAAGGGGGAGCCGCTGAGTCGCGGGCAGCCGGCGCCGCCCCCTTGCCTCGCGGGGAGCCGGGTTGCCATTGTAGCCGAGCTTTTATCAGCGTGTAGTCCCGCAGGAACTGAATTCTGGCTCACGCCCACCTCGGGTTGGCTCCAGAGGGCCCGCCTGCTGCCCAGCCGCCCTCGCGGACCCCAGCTGCTGTTGCTTGCGCGCGGACCCCGGTCCCCCTGGCCCCGGGAGGTAAGGATGTACCCACCGGGGCTTGGGTGGGTTGTCACCCATGTCTTTGCGGGAGGTTTGCGCTGTGGGCGCAGGGCTGGGCCAGCAGAGGTGTGCGTGGTCACCTCGTGTGCCACAGCTCCGGGAGGACCCGTACGCCTTTGGCCCCTGACCCTGGCAGGTGCATCCCCGGCCGTTTTAAGGCAGCTCTGCCCCTCACAGAGTGAAGGGGCCTGAGCCAGTCTGAGACTGCCCAGCACCGTGGGCACGTACTGCTGTCGGTGACCTTGGCCCAGCCCACACCTGCAGGGCACTGTGGAGTGCGCTGTGACGGATTCAGGCTCATTCGGAACTCAGGCCCTCCGGGGATGCTTGGGACACACAGCCGCAGCCTGACCCGCTCCGGTTCTGGCCCTGAGGGGCCCCTGTCCGAGCCGGTGCTGGACGCGCCCCTCCCCGAGGCCCCCATGAACGCTGCCCACAGCGCCCCGTGCACCTGGACTTGAAGAGCTGCTCGAGTGACTGCCATGAACTCCCCGGCCTGGGCAGCACATGAGCTGCTTGGCCTTGGGGGTCACACTCGCCACATCCGGACAGAACAGGAGCTTGTCAGGAGAGAAGCTGCTGGGGAGGGCGACCCCTTAGGGCCCCCGCCCCCTCTGGCTCCCCAGTGGGGGACAGCAGGTGCTTGGTCCCGGCATCTGGTCCCCTGTGCCCTGCCATCTCCAAGGGGGCCACGGGGCGGCTGCTGCTGGGTGAGACACTGACTAGGCACATCTGGGGTGTCTCCTGTGCAGCCACGGCCCCTGGGCCTTCCCTGTGAGGGCCACAGGCCAGCTGCTCCCCAGGACCCACCCAGTGGCCCTGCTGAGGCAGCCACGGTCAGTTGGGGACAGGGAAGCAGTGAGGCTGGGCCAGGAGCCAGGAGGTCCCTCCCGGTCTCCCACAAGGTTGCAGGGGCCCCTGCAAGCTGACTCCCCTGCACTGCTTTCCCAGGTGTTAGCAGGGAGCTGGATGGGAAGCAGAGCACCCAGGACTCAAACTGGTGCCCGTCTGCGTTGCCAGGCAGCTTAATGCGCTGTGCCGCAGTACCAGCTTTCGTCATTTTAGCATCAGAGAGCTTCGAGGGGGGCAGCCAGAACCAAAGCTGGGGGGTAGAGTGTGGAGGGGTGTGCTTCCAGGAACTTGCTGGCCCGGGCAGGAGTGGACCCAGCGCTGAAGTCACACTGACCGTGGACTCGGAAGCCGCTGCTTTGGACCCACAGAAGGACATCACCAACCTGCCCACCCCCACCAGCCCTCAAGGTACAGGGACCCGCAGCCCGGAGGGGACGGGGAGGGCCGTGCCAGGCTCCCTCCACCCCAGGACCAGGAGGCATGTTGGAGGGGGCGGGTGAGGGTGGGGACTCAGACCAGCCCAGGGCCTTGCTTGCCAGCTGTGCGGCTGAGCCCCAGGAAGCATGGGAGACTGACACCCCGGCTCTTGTCCAACCCCTGGGCGGCCACGCGTGGGGCACATCACCCCAGCGCTCTCTCCCCCTCCCTCCCAGCACGTGACGCTGCCGAAATTGCCGGGCGCAGCCGCTAGAATGTTCGTCATGAAGGCCGCTCCAGTGGCGGCTCTCAGATCCAAATGGGAGCCGTTCGGCCCGCCGGGCACCTGCAGGCTCCCGGGGTGCTTCCCAGAGCCCCCCGAAGCCGTGGCTAGCGCCTCGGTGAGCGCCAGAGTGCAAATGATCATTAGCTCGCTGCAGCAAGGCGTGAGCCAGGAGCCGCCCGCCACACTCCGGAGCCACAGGGCGGAGCGGGGCCGTGAGCCCAGACCAGCTGGCCGCCCCTCTGCCCACCGAGGGCAGCCCCTGCTTGCCGCCACCAGCCCCCAGGAGCCCTCGGCGCTGGATTCCGACAGCGACGATTCTGTGGACCGTGACATCGAGCAGGCCATTCAGGAGTACCTGCGGGCCAAGGGCGGAGCCGGCGGCAGGTACAGAGCACAGCCTGCGAGGCCCAGCACCCAGGCTCCTCCAAAACTCACAGCCAACCCCGGCGGCCAGACGGGCGAGGAGGGCAGCGAGGCCCAGGGCTCCGCGTCCCCCGTGAGCGTGAGCAGCGACGACTCCTTCGAGCAGGGCATCCGGGCCGAGATCGAACGCTTTCTAAGTGAGAAGAAGCTGCAGGAAGCACCCAGGTGGGTCCGGCCGGAGGAGCAGGGAGCAGAGCCCAGCGAGGCCCCTGCCAGGGCGACGCCCAAGCCCGGCAGGGAGCCGCCCGCCAAAGCAGTGCCGCGGCAGGACCCCACGGCGGCCTCCAAGGAATTCGTCTTCCGCAAACCTCCCCGGTGGGCCAAGGTGAATGGGCAGCCCAGGGGCCTCCGGGCGAAGGGCACGGCTGCGCCCGAGGCCAGGCTACCGGCCCCCAGGCCCGAGGCAGCACCTCACAGAGGTAGCTCTGGCCAGAGGCCCCCGCGCACCCAGAGTGTGGCTGCAGCCCAGCGGGCATCCGACTCGAGCAGCGACGACGGCATCGAGGAGGCCATCCAGCTGTACCAGCTGGAGAAGAGTCGGAGGGAGGCTGGCACGGGCCTGGCTGTTGACAGCGCCAGGAGCGCCTTGGCCGAGGCACCGCGGAGGACGCCCGCCAGGAAGAAGCCTGGCTTCGGGAAAGCCACCGACTCGCCGAGCCCGGACGCTGAGCAGCCGGCCAAGCTCCCAAAGGCTGGCAAGGCCGTCCCAGCCCCCGGAGAGCCAGCAGCCAGGAGCCAGGCTGCGGGGCGGCCCTGCGGCCGCACGGACGTGCCCACTGAGCTGCTGTGCCCCGAGCCCATCCTGCCCGGCCCTGCGGAGCCTGGCAGCGCCCCCTGCCCGCCGCCCCCTGCCGAGCCCAGCCACCCCGACGGCGACGGCAGCGCCGTGGACAGCGACGACAGCATCGAGCAGGAGATACGGAGCTTCCTGGCCCTCAGGATGCAGGCCGGGCATCCGCTCACCAGAGCCGAGAGCGGCCTGCAGCCCACCCAGGGTCCCCCCAGCCAGCCCCTGCCCTCGAAAAGCCAGGACCGGTCACCGCACTGCAGGAGGAGGCGCGGCCCCGGATGCGGCACCACAAGGCCCTTGGCGTCCAGGAAAGCCAGGGAAATGAAGGACGGTGGCCAGGGTCGGGCACACCCCGCGCTGCAGCCGCCTGGTGAGACCTGCAGACAGCCTGTCCCCGCCAGGGCAGCCGGACTCGGGGACGCCCATGGGCCCCAAGGCCACGAGAAGGCGGAGGAGAAGGAGAGCTCTGAGGACAAGAGCAGCTCACTGGACAGCGATGAGGACCTGGACACAGCCATCAAGGACCTGCTGAGGTCCAAGAGGAAGGCCCGGAGGCGAGGCCGGGACCCCCGGGCCTCGGGCCAGAAGAAGGTCCGGTTCGGCACGGCCGAGACCCAGAGCTGGGACAAGCTGGGCAGCGCCCGGGGCGGCCGGAGAGAAAGCCCGCAGGTGCTCAGGAGCTGCCTGTCCCCGTGTCGGAGGGACTGCACCGCCGGCCCGCCCAGAAGGGCCCCCGGCGCCGACAGAGGCACGCCCGACGCCGCTGTGCCAGGCGAGGGCACGCTCCCGGCCACCCGGCTGCGGAGCCGAGCCCCCAGAGGCAGCCCGCGCGTCTGCGAGGCCGAACCCAGAGACCGGCCACGGCCGGACGCTGGCCCCCGCACCTCGTCCGACGACACCAGCTCTGTGGACAGCGATGACAGCATCGAGCTAGAAATTAGAAAGTTCTTAGCAGAAAAGGCCAAGGAGTCGTCCTCGGTGGGCTCGGCCGAGGCACAGGGTGGTGAGCCGGGGGCGCCGGCCCCGCAGCCTGGCATGTGCACACGCAGCCGGAGGGCCAGGGCTGCCCTGCCAGCAGCTGGGGTGCAGAGCGCAGCCACCCTGCTCGCCCAAGGCGGGAAGGGCACCCCCTTCGCGGAGCTGGCCGCCACCCTGGCTGGATGCGAGCCGGCAGCTCCGCGGCTCACGGGCGGCGTGGTTACTGCAAAGGCTTGCCCCGGGGGCAGGAACAGCGCCTACAGAGACCAGAGCCCGCGAGGGGCCGAGCCTGCCGCCGCCGACACCTGCCAGACACCCAAAGCCCCCACCTTCCCTGGGAACTTGGGGAGCCAGGGCCTGCTGAGCCCCAGCCCGGGGCCTCAGGCCGACCTCACCCTGCCCTGGAGTGACTTTGGCCGCCCGGGGCGTCTGCCCAGCCCCTGGCCGCTGAACTCGGAGGGCAGGGGCCCAGCGTGGACCACAGGCCTCAGAACTGAGAGCGAGAAGGGGGCTGAGGGGTCGGCCCGGGGCTCCACCAGCCTGGCACTGGACCCTGGGAAGAGCCTGGCCTTCGGTGGCTTCTCCCCGCTGTTGTCCACCCAGCTCTTCCAGTTCGGAAGGGGCGTCTCCTGGGGCAAGCACGCCGGCCTCTTCAGCACCCAGCTGGGGTTGCCCCCGCACAGCCCGCCCTTCGCGGCCTTCGGGGCGGCCCAGGCCAGGCCCAGCCCGGTGTTCGGAGGCCCTCACCTGCTCCTGAGGAAGGAAGGTGGGTCCTGGCCGGGCAGGAGGCCCCCCGCCGGGCTCAGCTCCCACGACGGGAGGAGCATGGACCTGCGGTACCGGCGTGAGGCCGTGGACGCCGACGGGCAGGACCAGGAGGCCTTGGGCAGCGATGCCAGCGAGGGCAGCGATGTGTCCGTGGAGGGTGGCGTGGGGTGAGGCCTGAGGGGCAGTGGGAGTGTGCGCCCGTCTGCGTGGGGAGCGCGCAGCCCTGCACATGTGACCATGAACACGAGGTGAGGTTTTTATTTAGCACAAGCATCCTGGTGAAGATTTTGTTTGTAGTTCTTTGTAAATTATTGAAAATGCTGTAAAAAGTATTTTTGGAAAACACAGTAGTGGACTTTTGTAGCTGCAGCTTTCTGGGTCCCTCCGAGGGGGCTTCACGTAGCACACGGCTCTGGCCGGGCCCGCTGAGGGGACGACTGGTGGCCGCACCTGCAGGCCCCCCGCCCACCCCCCAGGATGGGCAGGTGGGCAGGGACCTGTGGACAAGCTGCTGGGACGGCGGCTTTTCTGTAAGGCCCCTCCTCCTGATCCCATCCCCCGCCCAGTTCACAGCACACAGGCCGCCTCGTAGGCACTGGGCCACCGGGCCGGCCAGGCCCCTGCACAGACCTCGGCGCCCCACCCAGCACTGGATCCGTGGGCCTGGAGCCCAGGCAGCAGCTACATCCATGCCGTAGCCCCAGCCAAGGCCACTGCAGCCAGCATCTGCCGGGCTGGAGCCCTCCAGAGAGTGTGTGTGTGTGTGTGTGTGCGCGTGGGTGTGTGTGTGCGTGCGGGTGTGTGTGTGTGCGCGCGGGTGTGTGTGTGCGTGCGGGTGTGTGTGTGTGTGCGGGGGGGGTGTGCAGGTGTGTGTGTGCGCGGGTGTGTGTGTGTGCGCACGGGTGTGTGTGTGTGCAGGTGTGTGTGCGCGCGGGGGTGTGTATGTGCAGGTGAGCGGGTGTGTGTGTGCGTGCGGGTGTGTGTGTGTGCACGGGTGTGTGTGTGCGTGCGGGTGTGTGTGCGGGTGTGTGTGTGTGCGCGCGGGTGTGTGTGCGGGTGTGTGTGTGTGCGCACGGGTGTGTGTGTGTGCAGGTGTGTGTGCGCGCGGGGGGGTGTGTGCAGGTGTGTGTGCGCGCGGGTGTGTGTGTGCGTGCGGGTGTGTGTGCAGATGTGTGTGTGCGCACGGGTGTGTGTGTGTGCAGGTGTGTGTGTGTGCGCGCGGGTGTGTGTGTGTGCGTGCGGGTGTGTGTGCAGGTGTGTGTGTGCGCGGGGGGGTGTGTGCAGGTGTGTGTGCGCGCGGGTGTGTGTGTGCGTGCGGGTGTGTGTGTGTGCAGGTGTGTGTGCGCGCGGGGGGGTGTGTGTGCAGGTGAGCGGGTGTGTGTGTGTGCGCGTGGGTGTGTGCGGGTGTGTGTGCAGGTGAGCAGGTGTGCGCACACGATGGCTTCTCCGTGGCGTTTCCTGGAAGAACATTCCATGGAGTCCACGCTCGCTCTGCCCTCCGTTTCTAAAAGGTGTTTTAACCCTCCCCCAAACAAGAAGCAGCTTGTTTTGTACATAAGAGCTGGTTTTTCGTTTGTTTTTAATAATAAATCCAGCATCATGTGACCCGGCTCTGTGGTTTTCTGCCCCTGTGGGCCGTGGCAGGTGTGGTGGGTGTGGTAACGGAAGCCCAGAAAGCTCCCAGCCCTGGTTCCCAGCGTTCCCCCCGACGTGGACGTGCCTCACACGTGTACGTGGGCACGGGGTCCCACTGCCCTGGCCCCCGGGCCAGGCACCTCAGAGGTGAGCTCTAACTCCATAGCTGCTCAGGACACCTCAGCCCCATTCAGACCCCCAGGAGGACAGGGCCTGTGGACACCCTGATTGCCCAAACCCAGCCCCTGCGTGCATCCTGCAGGGCCGCCACCTGGAGCGCCTGGGCCGACAGAGGTGGCCGCCGGCCCCTGCTCCAGCGGCTGTCCGAGTCAGCAGGCCTGGGGAGGGGGGCCCAGACCCCCGCAGACCTGTGCGTGGGGACCCTGCCCCTGCTGCACCCCACCCTCCAGGCCCAGCAGCCCTGCTTACCTGCAGGTGGAAGCCCAAGCCAGCCGTCCCCGGCACCTGCCCCTCAGGCAGCCCTCCCCAGCACCACCCCAGGGCTACAGGAGCCTGGGGAAGCAGACCCCCGCGCAGCAGGGCAGCTCAGTCGGCACATCCCGTCACGGGCTCATGGGCCACGTGATCCCCGAGAGGTCAGGGTGTCCCTCAAGCCCCTCCCCAGTGCAGCAGAAATGAGGGGGCAATCCCTCAGGCCCCCTGGGAGGGCTCCCTTAGAGAACGGTGTCCTGGACCGCACCTGGTGCCCGGGAGGGAAGCAGTCGGGTCCTCCCGACGGGGACGCGTGCATGCCCGAGACAGGGCGCCTCGTGACGAGCTGGCATCTCAGCATGAGTGGTGGACGGCACGGCACCCTCAGCCTAGCTCCCTCAGGAAGGCTCCTGCTGCGAGGGCAGGAAGTCAGTGCCCACAAGTGCCCACAGTGCCCATCAGTGGCTACCTGTGCCCATGAGTGTCCATCAGTGCCCGCCAGTGCCTACCTGTGGCTATCAGTGCCCACCTATGCCCACCAGTGTCCAGGGTCCACATTACATGACCCACAAACACCTCCGTGGCACCTGGAGTTTTGTGTCCTGAACCTAAGAGATCAGTTCCCTTAGCTTCACTCAGTACGTGAAACTGTTTATTCTTTTTAAAGATCTATTTATTTGAAAGGCAGTTACAGAGAGAGACAGAGACCTTCCATCCACTGGTTCACCGCCCAGCTAGCTGCGCAGACCAGAGCCGAGCTCACCGAAGCCAGAGGCCAGAAGCCAAGAACCTCTTCCGGGTCTCGCCGTGGGCACAGGTCAAGCACACAGGCCATCCTCCACTCTTCCCCAGGCGGGGAGCGGGGCAGCCAGGCCTCGAACCGGTAACTCCCATCGGGGATCCAGCATTGTGGGCGCTGACTCAACACACAGTGTTTGTCCTCCATGAACGCACGCTTGTTGGTGCTGGCGCCTGCGCAGTGCTGGGACTCCCGGCTCCAGACAGCCACATTACACAGATCCCAGCTTCAGGCTTAGCAATCCTTTTTATTAAATATATTGATTTTCTCTAGGAACCACTTCTTCTTGGTTGGACATCAACAACTGTGCCAAGATGCCTGCTTTTGTGTTGTAATGACAAAAAGTGTAAAACGGGACCTAGCACTATAGCCTAGTGGCTAAGTCCTTGCCTTGCATCCGCCAGGATCCCAGGTGGGCGTTGGCATATCCCAGCTGCTCCACTTCCCTTCCAGCTCCCCGCTTGTGGCCTGGGAAAGCAACAGAGGACAGACCAAAGCCTTGGGACCCTGCACCCATGTGGGAGACCTGGAAGAAGCTCCTGGCTCCTGGCTTCAGACATTGCAGACACTTGAGGAGTGAACCAGCAGATGGAAGATCTCTGTCTCTCCTTCTTTCTATAAATATGACTTCCCAATGAAAGAATAAATCTTAAAAAAAAAAAAGCAAAAAAATGCACGTACCCATTGGTTCCACAAACCAAACCCCCAGCATGCACTATGGGGTCACAAGGTCCATGCTGGAGCAGCCGTGTGCAGGCGGAGGCCACAGGGGCCAACGGTGACCACTGGCTCTCAGGGGAACCCGCCGGGCGCAGAGGGAGTGACATCAGGCCCTCCCCAGGGTGGACTCCCCCAGCACGCCACCTCTCAAGGTCACCCCACTCGGCCACACCAGGGACCAATCCTTGGACACACCACCAAGTCGCTCTGGCCACCTCCGCAACGCGGAACTGCTTCCTGGCCACACCTGTGGTGACACACCGTGGAGACAGGACACGACTCCAGTCCTGCGGGGAACTCTGGGCATGACGATCTCCCACGGAGGACCCCAACCCGCAGCCAGCACCAACAGGGGACAAGCTAAACAAATGCCACCCTATGGGACCAGCGTGATGGCACTACCAGCCACTGCTTGGCCCCAGGGTGCTCCCACCAGCTCCCTCTTTGTGCCTCTGACACACTGCCCTGCCTGGGCTCCTCTGGGCTCAGGCGCACAGCCCCACACCTGCACATCGCTGGGAGGGTGTGCCACCCCCTCTCCCTGTGTGTGGACAGGTGGCAGGGTGCAGCTGGGAGTGGGTGTGGGTACCCCCGGTTGTGCCCACAGCCCAGCACGCCAGGACCCTGCCCCGTGGTCACAGAGGCCAGCCAAGCCAGGGTGTGGCAACACGTTTAATGCAGACGCAGGCCGCTGGCATGTCTCCCGTGCCCGTCTCGGCGACCCCGCTCGGATGACCCCCATTTCCAATGACCACAGACCTCAGTGAAGCCTCGCAAAGGGGGTGCCAGGCGAGGGTCCCAAGGGCAAAGCGGTGAGAAGAATCCCCCACCGCGGGCAGCATGGGGTCTGGGACTCGGGGTGCCCAGCCCCTCAGTCACAGAAGGACGGCCTGCTGGGGTTGTAACTGGGGTGGAAGTTGAGCCGGTCACAGGGGGTGATACAGTTGTCAACGCCGGTCACCAGGCTCTTGTCCAAGCAGACGTTCAAGGCGTTGCTCTGGAACATTCCACCCACTGCAAATTCTTTGGAAAACGCGCTCGAGTGTGGGCAAAACACTTTCTGGAACGAGACGAGGGATGCTGAGTCAGCGACGTGCAAGGGAACTCTGCGAGGATCGGGTGCTTCGGGAAGAAGGGTTCAGACCCTGTAGGAAGGGCAGCGACACGATGCCCCCAGCACCCTGAGCCGTGTGCCAGCTGCCGTCACCCAGCAGGACTTCTCACTGATGCTCAGTGCAGGGGGACCCAGACCCCTGCCTGCAGCCACAACAGGTCTGCTGTGCCAACCATGTCACCCTGGGGGGTCGCCCTGGAGGGTCTTCCTGGGGGGTCACTCTGGAGGGGTTACCCCAGGGGTGGAACTTCTGCCATCCCTTCTGAAGACTGCAAATCATAGCAACAGCAGGTGTCTGTCCGTCCCCGTGCCCGCCCCCCGCCAGCCCGGCAGCTGTCTGTCCCTGTGCCCGCCCCCCCCCCGGCCCGGCAGCTGTCTGTCCCCGTGCCCGCCCCCCGCCAGCCCGGCAGCTGTCTGTCCCCGTGCCCGCCCCCCGCCAGCCCGGCAGCTGTCTGTCCCCGTGCCCGCCCCCCGCCAGCCCAGGGGGCAGGGATCCCTGCTGAAATAGCAAAGCACACCCTGGCAGGGGTGGAAGGAGCCTTCCATGCAGGCAAGCAGGCACCCTGGCACACCCCAACATCATGGCAGCACCAGGTCGCCTCAAGCGACCTGTGCGCCTCAGCAGATGTTCGGCCCCGGCCACAGGACAGGCACCAGGACAACCTGTGCAGGGACCAGGCACGGAAGAAAGTAGATTTCGGTCTGAGAGAATCTAAGGTAAGCAGGACACACTCGACGTCCCGGGCACAGGTCCTGCGGCACTGGCCTCTGCACACCTCATCACCCACAGGATGCCCCAGCTCGCACCCACTCCCGGGCACGCCACGGGCTCTGCCAAGTGCACCCTAGCAGGTGCCCCCGGGAATAGCAGCGAGAGGAACAGTGCCTGCAAAGGCAGCAGGTGCCCGGGACGTACAGAGGTCAGCTGCCCCAGCTCCCCCTTGACGTCAGCGTCCACCCTGGCTCCAGAGGCACAGGGCAGGCTCCGGGGGAGAGCAGGCGGCTGCAGGGTGGCCGGAGCCCAGCCGATGACCCAGCTGTGCAGAACCTCAGTGCCCAAACCCCAGCCATTTGTTCAAGGCTCATTGTTACTCAGGAACTGTGTGAGCCTGCGGGCCAGACGGCCTGTGTGACCTTCCGCGGCCTGCGTGACCTTCAGTGGCCTGCGTGACCTTCAGCGGCCTGCGTGACCTTCCGCGGCCTGCGTGACCTTCAGCACTGATGGGCCCCAATTCTCACGAACCAAGGCCCACCTAGTCCGGTTATCTCACAGGTGGCTCCAAGTGAGTAAGTGGGTGCTTCCCTCAGTGGCCGGAGGCCTGGGCTGTGCAGCCGAGACAGGCCGGGAATGCGTGCTATTTCCCCTCACCTTGCAGGTCGTTGGGGACTGCCCCTATAAAAAAACCTATGAATGTGCTGTTTGGGGCCACACTCCGGTGAGGGCTGTTGGTCCCAGGTGGCTGCTCTCAACCAAGAGCCCAGGCTCGGATGTGCCGAGTTTAAATAAACCATCCTTGTGCACTTGGATCAACTTCAGACTCCTAGTGATCTCCAGATCTGGGCACAACAGCTACAGCAAGTGGGCACCCAGCCGACGGCCTGGCTACAGGGAGGCGAGCACCCAGCCGACGGCCCGGGTACAGGGAGGCGGGCGCCCGGCCGACCGCCCAGCAGGACTCCTGCCAATAGCCCGGCCAGAGGGCAGCGACAGCCTAGACAACAGCCTGGTGGCCAACAGGTGGCGCCCGTGTGGGTGAATCCCGCTGTGGGCACCAGGCACACTTCCTCTACCCAGGCTGGCGTTGGACAACTGCCCCCTGGAAAACCCTCGGGCCCTTGGTCCTGGGACAGTGGCTGGAGGAGGCTGCAGGAAGCTTCCAGAGAAACCGACTTCTCACACGAGCGCGGTCACTTGCACCAACCCACCATGTCCACGCCCAGTCACCAGGCGGTCCCGAAGGCTGGCCGCAGGAGGGCGTGGACTCTCACAGCGGAGCAGGTGGCATGGAACATGCCAGGGGGCTCCTCACTGGGCAGGAGGGGGCACCAGGCCTTCTGGCCCCTGCACCCAAGCCACCACGTGCCCGGCTCCCTGCTGGCCGCTGAGTAAACCCATGCGCACACACCCTCAGCTCCACCTGCCTAGTCTCCGGTGACGGCGCGCTGGGCCACCTCCCCCAGGTGCCCACTCTCACAGACCCGGCCCCCACTCACCGGCATCTCATGCACAGTGGGTGCCCGGCTCCCGTACGTCTGGTTGCTGGTCCTGTACAAGGAGACAGCCTGCCGGCCCCTGGGGGGACAGGAAGACACACTTGTCCTCCGCTCGGGGCTCAAGACGGAGCAGCCAGTGACGTCCACAGGCAGAGACATCGCCCCATCCACTGGCTCGCGCACACGGCCAGGGCTACGCCAGCGCCACGCCAGGAGCCAGGAGCTCCATCTGGGGCGCTCCCACCAGGGGGAGGGCATGAGGGACTCAAGCAGGTGCACAGTGCCTGCCGCATGCCCGACTCCTCACACACCCTTGCATCCCCACCTCCCACCCCTCACACACACACACCCACACACCTCCCACCCCTCACACACACACACAGCACACACACACACACCCCTCCCCCCCCACACACACACAGCACACACACACTTCCCGCCCCTCACACACACACACACACACACACACCTCCCACCCCTCACACACACACACACACCTCCCACCCCTCACACACACACACACACCTCCCACCCCTCACACACACACACACCCGCCCCCCACCCCTCACACACACAGCACACACACACACACACCCCTCCCACCCCTCACACACACACACACACCCCTCACACACACACACACACCCCTCCCACCCCTCACACACACACACACACACCTCCCACCCCCTCACACACACACACACACACCTCCCACCCCTCACACACACACACACACACCTCCCACCCCTCACACACACACACACACCCGCCTCCCACCCCTCACACACACACAGCACCCGGCGCCTGGGGTGCAGGCAGAGCCCTGGCCGGCTGCACCCCACCCCGCCTCGCCCTCACCCGTAGCCCCGGAACCATTCCGGGTGGTGGAACCTCAGCGGCAGGCGCTCGCTCACGCAGTAGTAGTCGCCGGTCCTCCCGGGCGCCGCCGGGGCCTGGGGCTCCGCAGGGTCGCTGCAAGCAGGCACCTCCGGCTCGGACATGGCGGCTCCCAGCGCAGGACGCGGCCCGTTGCTTAGCGACGGCGCTTCACGCGCTCCTCCGCGCCGGCAGAGGGCGCTGCGACCGGAGCGCGCAGGCGCAGTCGCCGCCTCGCCCGGCCATGGCGCCCGCCCTGCTCACGCTGGGTCGCCTGCTGCGCGCGGGTGAGGGGTGTTCGAGGCCCGGGAGGGGGCCGGGGCTGGGCGCGGCCCTGCAGCGCGCACTCACGCGTGTCCTTGCTCCCGCAGGTGCCTGGCCCCGGCCGCGCTGGCCCGGCTGCAGGACGCTGGGCAGCACCGCAACCCCGGCGGTCCGCGAGCGCGAGGACGACGGCGGTGAGGCCCGGGGACGGGAGGGTGGAGGGCGCCCGCCGCGAGGGGCAGTGGGGGCCCTCGGCCACTGACGCCGGCCTGGAGCCCCGCCGAGAGTATGCCTGGTGACCCGGCGTGCTCTCACCCCAGAAGGGGCCCTGCAGCTTCCAGATCCAGGCCTTGGCACGAGACCCTGGGCGCTGGGTGGGCGGCCCCGGGCCGTGGCTGGAGTCGTGGGCAGTGACTGGGGTCGTGGGCAGTGACTGGAGTCGTGGGCAGTGGCTGGAGTCGTGGGCAGTGGCTGGGGTCGTGGGCAGTGGCTGGAGTCGTGGACAGTGGCTGGGGTCGTGGGCAGTGACGGGTCGTGGACAGTGGCTGGGGTTCCGGCTGTGGCTGGGGTTGTGGGCCGTGGCTGGGGTCCCTGGGCAGTGGCTGGCTCCCCGGGCAGTGTCTGGCTCCCCGGGCCGTGGCTGGAGTCGTGGGCAGTGGCTGGGGTCGTGGGCAGTGACTGGGGTCGTGGGCAGTGACTGGGGTCGTGGGCAGTGGCTGGGGTCGTGGGCAGTGACGGGTCGTGGACAGTGGCTGGGGTTCCGGCTGTGGCTGGGGTTGTGGGCCGTGACTGGGGTCCCTGGGCAGTGTCTGGCTCCCCGGGCAGTGTCTGGCTCCCCGGGCAGTGGCTGGCAGGAAGAGACCAGCGTCCCCTCCCTGCCCCAGATGTCACCGACAGGATCCTGAAGGAGCCGCTCAAGCACTCCGACTTCTTCAATGTCAAGGAGCTGTTTTCCGTGCGCAGCCTTTTCGAGGCCCGCGTGCACCTGGGACACAAGGCCGGCTGCCGGCACAGGTAGGGGCATCCCCTGGGCAGGGGCTTGGCAGAACCCTCCTGCAGGGGCCCAGGCCACTTGGCACTGACCTGGGCGGCCATGTTGGTGTAAGCTTGGCCCTGCCCCTGCAGGTACTGGAGCTGGGCTCCTGGGTGGGATTGGAGGAGGGGGCCACCGCACATGGCACCTCCAAACAGCTGGGAGCAGGCAGTGGCGCGGGGCACGGGGCTGGGGATGCTGGGGTCTTGGCCAGCCTAGGTGGTACCTGGGTTCTACCCAGAACCTCCATTGGAGGGGGCTGGGGCAGCCGTGCAGGGCACGGGGAGCGGAGGTGGGTGGCTTGGACGCGGGGAGAAATGGGGGCGGCTGTGGCTCGGTGAGCTGTCGGGAGAGGAGAGGGGAGACCTCGCCAGGCCGAGAGCTGGGGCGTCTCCCCTCAACCTGACCCATGTGAGCTGTGTGTCTGTGTCCCACCCTGCCATCTGAGCTCAGCCCCGGACCCACACGGGGTCACTGAGGCCAAGCTTGGTCCCGGGCTCCCGGACACCGAGTTTTTCCCCGGCTCCTATGGGCTCACTTGGGTTCACACAGCCCGAGCTCGGTCCCAGGCTCCCACGGGCTTCCAGGGCTCACACGGGCTCCCACGGGCTCACACAGCCCGAGCTCGGCCCCAGGCCCCCACGGGCTCACACAGCCCGAGCTCGGCCCCAGGCCCCCACGGGCTCACACAGCCCGAGTTCAGCCCCGGCTCTCACACAGCCCGAGCTCGGCCCCAGGCTCCCACGGGCTCACACGATCTCACACAGGCTCCCACGGGCTCACACAGCCCGAGCTCGGCCCCAGGCTCCCACGGGCTCACACGATCTCACACAGGCTCCCACGGGCTCACACAGCCCGAGCTCAGCCCCGGCTCTCACACAGCCCGAGCTCGGCCCCAGGCTCCCACGGGCTCACACAGCCCGAGCTCAGCCCCGGCTCTCACACAGGTTTATGGAGCCGTTCATCTTCGGGAGCCGCCTGGACCAGGACATCATCGACCTGGAGCAGACAGCCGTGCACCTGCAGCTGGCCCTCAACTTCACCGCCCACGTGGCCTACCGAGGGGGCATCATCCTGCTGGTGAGCCGCCACCGGCAGTTCTCACACCTGATCGAGAACACGGCGCAGGCCTGCGGCGAGTACGCCCACACCCGCTACTTCAAGGGCGGGCTGCTGACCAACGCCGACCTCCTCCTGGGCCCCGGGGTGCGCCTGCCGGACCTCATTGTCTTCCTGCACACACTCAACAACGTGTTCGAGCCCCACGTGGCCGTGCGGGACGCCGCCAAAATGAACATCCCCACGGTGGGCATCGTGGACACCAACTGTAACCCGTGCCTCATCACCTACCCCGTGCCCGGCAACGACGACTCGCCCCCGGCCGTGCAGCTCTTCTGCAGGCTTTTCCGCACCACCATCACCCGCGCCAAGGAGAAGCGCAGGCAGATGGAGGCCTTGTACCGGCTGCAGGGCCTGGGCGCCGCCGGCCTGCCTTCCGGGCCTGCGACGGCCGCCACTCCTGCCTAGCCCGCCCAGCCGTGTCCCCACCCTTCCTCGGGCGTTGGCTGCCCGTTGCTAAGGACGCAGCCGTGCCGGGTACCCAGACCAGACACGGGGTCTGTCAGCCGTGTCTTCTCCCTGGGCTTGCCCGGAAGATGCAGGGCTCCAGGAGGGACCACCCCATGCTGCTTTCCTCAGGCTTAGCAGAGGGAACGCCTGGCCAGCTGGCTCCTGGTAGGAACTTGGCTGGTGTGCAGGGCAGGTGCACATGCCAGCAGAAATAAAACTAGAATTGAGCAGAGAGTTGGCATTCACCTGTGACAGGCCCAGGGCCGGGCATGGGCCAAGGCATGGCTGAGGTCTGCAGGGGCTCCAGCCGGTGCCAGGTGGGACGGCCCCCGGGGGCCCTCACTGGTGGGGACTTGGTACCCCTCCATGCAGCCCAGGGGCCGACCTGGCCACTGCCATCACAGTGAGGCTGGAGCAAGGCGTGCCTGGTGGGTCAAGGCCCTCAGTGTCCGTGCAATGGCAAAGGTTATTGGGGGAGAAGGTTGGAAGTGAAGCCCCCACTGGGACCTCCTGGTACAGGACGCTGCAGACCCACAACTTGGGCTGTGACCCCATGCAAAATCTTCCCTGCCAGGAGAGACCGTGCCCTCCTTGGCCTCCTGAAAACATGTTGGAGGCTGTGTCTGGGTGGAGGCCCCGAGGCCAGTGCTGCTGGGACTGGGAGCATAGACCAGGCCTGGCACCGTTAGCACTGGGGCTCTGAGGAGGGTCAGGGTGGGCACCAGGAGGGCCTCCCTGGGGGGCACTGAGAGCAGGTAGAGCTGTGTCATTGGTGACCGAGCAGTGCCTCCCACAGCAGCTGCTGCGGATCTGGGCTGCCCCTTCACGCCCCCAGCTGAGAGTTCCCTGGGTCACAGACAGGACAACAAAACTGCGCGGAGGAGGGGGCGGCCGGAAAGGGTTCAGGCAAGTTAAATGTCAATTCCTGGATTTGGGAATCCCGCAGACAGCGTGGCCTGGCCACCTGTGAGCCCAGTGTCGCCCAGTGCAGCTGTGCAGGGACACAGCCGAACCGCCACCCCTCGCATCACCCACCTTTTTGTAGCAGACTACTTGATGTGAAAGTCAGTTATAGAGTTCAGTGCCAACAGGAGACAGGCCACCATTTGCCCCAGGGCGGTCAGGGATCTGTGGGGTCCCCGTTAACAGCAGACACAGCCCACACTCTGACCAGGGGATTAGAGGAGGCCACCCCAAGGCAGGCATGGCCCTGACGCCCCGCCCTGTGCACAGCCACTGTCCTGCTGCTGGGTCCAGCCCAGCCTGGCCCTGACAAGCAGGGGAGGCACGATGGTCCTCTGGGGGACACAGTATCGGTCCTAAGACCAAACCCTGCTCCCCAGGGGCTGCAGCAAGGAGTCTTGTAGACCTCCTGAGGGGAACCCCCAAGCCAGGGGTGTGGATTCTGGAGTTCCTGCCTGGGCCGCAGGGCTGGCAGGGGAGCCCAAGGAGCCAGCCCAGTCTCCAGTAGGGGGTCTCCCCTCGGGGACCTGCGTGCCTGCCGTGCCCACTCCTCAGGGGCAGGGAGGACCAGCAGAGACCCTCGCCCAGCCCCAGCACCCTCTGGGACCTGCCTGGATAATTACCTGAGCATTGCTGTCCACCCAGGCGCTTCCAGCTGCAACCTGTGGTGGCCCACATCCAGCCCTGGCCCTGTGTGTCCAGCTGGGGGACATGGAGCCCCAGAAGGTTCCAACAGCCCAGGAGCTCTTAAAGATGCTTCTGTCAGATACTGTGATCAGTGTCTTCAAAGCAAGCCATCATCCCTCGTTCCGTAGGAGCCACTGGGCGACAGCCAGGACAAGGCCAGGGCACATGCGGGCACCTACTAACCAGCAATCCATTCCCACTGTATTTCTGTTTTTACAACTTACATATCACTTAGTGGGAAAAGATGTTACAAGGGAAAAACCTAAAGATCCCAGACAAGTTTCCAACATTAAGCCCCTACAACTGCAGCTCTACAACCCCACAAACAGTAATTAAAAGCATATCTATGATATTAATAAAAACACCCTGCAATTCCTCTGGCCAAAAGTTAGAAAAGCAGCCAAAGCAGATGCATGTTCTGTGCTGCAAACGGTTGCAAGGACAGGCTAGCCTTTAGGGTCACAGTGCTGTATCGCCACAGCAGTTGCAGCGCATGCTCCCCTCGCTTCCACTAGTTGGTAGGATTCTTGTCAAGCCCTTTCCCAGGAGGCGTGCTACATGTCTGGGCCAGATCCCAGGCGTCCAGAACCGACAGGGCTTTAACTGTGCTCCTGTGTGCAGTTAAAGGCCCACTCACCATGGCACTTTCAGCAACATCACCTCCCAGGCTCACATCGGTTGTAAAAGCCACCTCACGGGGCAGACAACACCGCCTCAATGGATTACAGAATTCTTAGCCGGTGGCTGAGTGTCCATGCAAAGCAGGTGAGACTGGGTCCAGGTGGTTGGAGAGACATCCGCCAGGCCTCGCCATGCAGCTGGGAGCTCCACGCGGCCTCGCCATGCAGCTGGGAGCTGTTCTCGTCACACCTTCGAGTCGTCCACACCCGCTGCTCAGACCCCAGCACCCAGGGGTCCAGCCATCCCTGGGGGCAGCGGCAGCTCACGCCCAGCCGGCTCACGCCCTGGATCTGAAGCCAGAACCGTGCAAGCCCTGGCCGGGCCCTCAGCAGCAGGAGCCTGCCAGGCCGGGGCTGGAGTCTATGCCCCACATGAGCTGCTGGCTTCCGGTCCCGGTTCCACTTGCATCCATGCCCAGGAGGGAGCGGGCCTTGGTTCAGGTCCCCAGGCCCCTGCCGGGCACACAGCCGCCACGGGAGGCAGCAGGCTCTCCTGGGCATCGGAGGAGTACAACAACAGGGGGGAGGGGCCCTGGCTCTGCCCCCTCCTGTCCCAACAGCAGGTGCAGGCCTCCTGTGATTCCTGTCTCTGCCTTTCAGAGCCTGGACCTGCCATGTGGGCGCAGGGCTCCAAGCACTTGCCCATCCTCCTCCGCTTTCCCAGGCACATTGCCAGGGGGCTGGATCGGAAGCGGAGCAGCTGAGATGCAAACCAGCGCCCATATCAGATGGCCAATTAGCCAGTTGGCACCGCCCACCCCCCAGCAGATTTTTTTTAAGAGGCCCTGAGCCGCAGTGGTAGTCCCTGGCGGGTGTGTGTGTGTGTGTGTGTGTGTGTGTGTGTGTGTGTGTGTGTGTGTGGTGGTGGTGGGGTGTGTGTGTGGGGGGGTGGTGGTGGTGGTGTGTGTGTGGGGGGGTGGTGGTGGTGGTGGTGGTGGTGGTGGTGGTGTGTGTGTGTGTGTGGTGGTGGTGGTGGTGGTGTATGTGTGGGGGTGGTGGTGGTGGTGGTGTGTGTGTGTGTGTGTGTGGTGGTGGTGGTGTGTGTGGGGGGTGGTGTGTGTGTGTGTGGTGTGTGTGTGTGTGTGTGTGTGTGGTGGTGGTGGTGGTGTGTGGGGGGGGGGTGGTGGTGGTGGTGGTGGTGGTGGTGGTGTGTGGGGGGTGGTGGTGGTGGTGTGTGTGTGTGTGTGTGGTGGTGGTGTGTGTGTGTGTGTGTGTGGTGGTGGTGGTGGTGTGTGTGTGTGTGTGGTGGTGGGGGTGGTGGTGGTGGTGTGTGTGTGTGTGTGTGGTGGTGGTGTGTGTGTGTGTGTGTGTGGGTGGGTGGTGGTGGTGGTGGTGGTGGTGTGTGTGTGGTGGTGGTGGTGGTGTGTGGGGAGTGGTGGTGGTGGTGTGTGTGTGTGTGGTGGTGGTGGTGGTGTGTGTGTGTGTGGTGGTGGTGGTGGTGTGTGTGTGGGTGTGTGTGGGTGGTGGTGGTGGTGGTGGTGGTGGTGGTGGTGTGTGTGTGTGTGGTGGTGGTGTGTGGGGGGTGGTGGTGGTGTGTGTGTGTGTGGTGGTGGTGTGTGTGTGTGTGTGTGTGGTGGTGGTGGTGGTGGTGGTGGTGGTGGTGTGTGGGGGGTGGTGGTGGTGGTGGTGGTGGTGTGTGTGTGTGTGGTGGTGGTGGTGTGTGTGTGTGTGTGTGTGTGTGTGTGTGTGTGGTGGTGGTGGTGGTGGTGGTGGTGGTGGTGTGTGGGGGGTGGTGGTGGTGGTGGTGGTGGTGTGTGTGTGTGTGGTGGTGGTGGTGGTGTGTGTGTGTGTGTGTGTGTGTGTGGTGGTGGTGGTGGTGGTGCTGTGTGTGTGTGGTGGTGGTGGTGTGTGTGTGTGTGTGTGGTGGTGGTGGTGGTGTGTGTGTGGTGGTGGTGGTGTGTGTGTGTGTGTGTGTGGTGGTGGTGGTGGTGGTGTGTGAGGGGTGGTGGTGGTGGTGTGTGTGTGTGTGTGTGTGTGTGGTGGTGGTGGTGGTGGTGGTGTGTGTGTGGTGGTGGTGGTGGTGTGTGTGTGTGGTGGTGGTGTGTGTGTGGTGGTGGTGGTGGTGTGTGTGTGTGGTGGTGGTGGTGTGTGTGTGTGTGTGGTGGTGGTGGTGTGTGTGTGTGGTGGTGGTGGTGTGTGTGTGGTGGTGGTGGTGGTGTGTGGGGGGTGGTGGTGGTGGTGGTGTGTGGGGGGTGGTGGTGGTGGTGGTGGTGGTGTGTGTGTGTGTGTGTGTGTGGTGGTGGTGGTGGTGTGTGTGGGGGGGTGGTGGTGGTGGTGGTGGTGGTGGTGGTGGTGTGTGTGTGGTGGTGGTGGTGGTCTGTGTGTGTGTGGGTGTGTGTGTGTGGTGGTGGTGGTGGTGTGTGGGGGGGTGGTGGTGGTGGTGGTGGTGTGTGTGTGTGGTGGTGGTGGTGGTGGTGGTGGTGGTGTGTGTCTGCAAAGTGGACGGGCATGGCCGGCCTCCACACACCCTCTGCCCTGTCACTGCCCTCAGCTCCAGGGCTGGGCTGTCCCACCTGACGTACAACAGGGCAGTGACATCGGTGCCCAGGCTAGCCATTGCTGAGGTCCACCTCCAGGCCCGGCTCGTCCCCCTGGGCAGTGCCGACCCCAGCCTGACCCCGCTGCTCCGCGCAGGACCTGGCCCACGGAGGGCAGGGGCGCCTGGGAGATCCTCTCCGCAGCGCCAGGAGGACCTGGGGCTCCGTGAGGGGCCTGGGGTGAAGGCCACCGGGGTCGGGGCACAGGCGGGGACAGAGCCAGAGCCGCGCTGCAGGGGCAGCAGGTGGACGCTGCTCGCCGGCATCAAGCCAGGCGCGCGCAACGGCGGCTCGCTCGGGACGGAGCGCCGTGGTCCTCGCCGGCCGCCGTACGCGCTATAAAGGGCGCGCGCCTGCCCGCCCCCGGCCTTTCGGACGGCCATGGCGGCGGGCGGTGATGGGCGCGTGTGCCCTGCTCTCCAGCCGCGCCGACCCGGCCAGGAGCGTTCGCTGCGCCCCCGGGACGTTATGGGAGTCCGGTGAGGACCGCGGCGTGGAGAGGCGCCTGCGGGGCCCGGGTTCCCAGGGGCTCGGGGCGGAGGCCAGCACGGGCTGCGCAGTGGACGTTGGGCGTCCTGGGTCCGGGGGTGCCCCCTGCGCTCCCTGGGCCGGTTTGCGGGGTCCTGGCGCCCCGGTCCGCGCTGGGGACGCTGCCCCTCGAGGCGTTGCAGGTGCGGCTGCTGTGCCGCGCCTGTGTCAGCAGGTGGCAGAGAGCAAGGCGGCTACGTCTACGCTCCGCGCCCTGGCCCGTGGGCTGCGGAATGATTAGTAGGCGGACAGCAGCAGCCCCGGCTCTGCACTGTGGTGTCGGGTGAGGGGCGGCGGGGCCCCCCTGACCGTCCCTCTTGATGCTGACCACGCAGGTGTCCAAGCGGAAGCCGGCCGCGCTCCTAGGCGTCCCCCTCGGGTGAGGACCTGACCTGTGTACCTCGCGACTGCAGGAGGGCAGGTGGCCCGGTGGAGGAGTGCGCGGCCCCTGGTGAGGCTCTGGGCCCTGGGGTGGAGGGGAGCAGCTGCCCCTGGCCGCAGCGACGCAGGAGTGGCTGCCGTGCTGTGCGCAGCCGCGGGGCGGAGAGCAGCTGGCTGTTCCTACACCCGGTGCTCAGGCCCGTGGGCGCCGAGAATGGCTTGCAGCCTGACACATCGCGTGCGGGGTCGCACGGGTCCTCCCTGCAGGTGGGGGTGGGAGGCCAGCCCTGGGGTGGGGTGTGTGTGGCACCCAGCAGGCCTGGTTTAGGTCCTTCCAGGCAGGGCATGGGAACGCCCAGTCTCAGGGCAGCTGCCTTTTGCTGTTGAGCTGTGAATTCCTCAGCCCCACCTCCCTCTGACTTGCCTGAACAGCCGTGATTTCGCTCCAGGCAGCAATGCCCTCGCTGCACCCCCGGGCCCAACCGGCACCAATCTCGGATCAATTTGCAGGTTCCCCAGCCTGAGGAGACCCCAGGGGGCAGCCAGCTCCCAGCCACAGCTGCATGAAGGACCAGCCCACAGTGGGGCTGTGGTGGACACCGCTTGTCACCAAGGCGTGGCAGAAATGGAATAAATAAACGATAGTGGATTGTGCGTGTCTTGTGAGCTCTGTCGCCCCCCAGGAAGGGGTCCTGTGCTGTTGGGGAGCCTGGGTGGACGCTGGCTGGGGGGGGACCCCTGCTGGGAAGGGCTCTGCCCTGTACCCTGGGGGCCCTTCCGGGGAAAGTGGGTCAGCAGCAAACTGGGGCATCCGCTTGCAGAAAAGCACTTTATTTAGCCTATGAGTAGTTGGTGTTGGAGATCTTGCGCCAGAGCAGGGTCTTGAGGTGGCTGAGCACGAGCGAGTGGTGCGCCTCCACCTGGCTGGCCAGCCCGCTGAGCGTGGTGCAGGTGCGCAGCTGGCGGCCCAGCTCGTCGCGCAGCTCGGCCGGCGCGCCGGGCAGCAGGTAGTCGCGCAGCAGCTCGCACACCTTGGCCAGGTTGGGCTGGATGAGGTCGTCTTTGCACTGCCGCATGAGCCGGTCGCAGGGCGCCCTGCAGTCGCGCCCGTAGGTGCAGTCGGCACTGTGCTCGCAGCGCCGGCCCTGCAGGAAGCGCCTGACCGCCACCTCGGGGGCCACCTGCTGCAGGTCGGCCATCTTGAAGTCATAGGTGGCCGTGTAGCCCACGTTGGCCAGTGTGGTCTCACACATGTAGAAGGTCCCGTAGGAGCCGTGGAAAAGCTCCTCCACGAACTCCAGCAGGCCGATGGCCACCTTGGCGCGCCACGGCCACGCTGGTCCCAGCCAGTGCTGCAGGGCGGGCGGCAGCAGTGGGAGCAGCGTGGCCCCGTGCCAGGAGCCGCGCGGGGCGCCCTCGGTGAGGTACAGGTCCCCACAGTGGCCCAGCAGCCGGGCCGCGTGCTCCTTGCCCTGCAGCGACAGCAGCAGCAGGAACTCGTGCCTCTGCAGCAGGGCCCACACAGACTTGGCCTCGGCCAGGGACACGCGCCTGTCCTTGTTGAAGTCGGCCAGGACCAGGACCTGACCCACCAGCGTGGGCAAGGACGGTAGGTCTCCCAGGTTTGCCTGCAGCAGGACAGGAAGAGCGACGGGGGGGGGGGGGGGGGGGGGGGGGGGACGGGACGTATGCCAGGCTGGGGGCCCAAACCCTCCCTCCCTCCACACCCCGCCCTGAGGGCTCATCGCTGGGTCACTCTGACGGGCAGGGGCTGTCCGGGTGAGCCCAGCTCCAGCCACACTGGTCCCAAAGCTCCCCGACCCCTCACCCTGCCCCGGGGCCTGGGCTGTGCCAGGCTGGCTGGCGGGGCCGTGGGCAGGTGGCCCCCAGCAGGCCTCTGTCCAGGAGGGGCCGGGGCAGCCTGCTGACCTTAAGGAAGCCGAGGGTCATGTCCCTGAACTCCTTCATGGACGTCCCCCGGGTGGGCTTGTCAAAGAGAGCCAGCTCCCGCCGGGGCGCCGTGTCCCCCCGGGCCTCCTCAATGGCACACTTGATGGTCACCTCCGTGTCCCGCCAGAGGCCGCTGTACACCTGTGAGGCCATAGGCGTGCTCGCCGGGGTCTCCCGGCCCTGCCCGTCCTGCCCCTGCCCGGCGGGGCCTACCTGCCGGCTGGGCGATGAGGAGCGGCAGGCCTTCCACTGCACCCTGCCCAGCTCGCACAGGTCCTCGCAGACGGAGCCCGAGATGACACCTTTGCGGTACTGGTCACACTGCAGGGACAGGGTCGGGCACGGGCGAGGAGGCAGGGCACGTCAGGGCCCCCAAACCCAGAGGCAGCGCCCAGGCCGCTGCCCCACACCGCCACGCCGCTGCCCCGGCCCAGCACCCTGTCCGCTCCCTCTGCGGCCCCCAGGCCTGCGCTACTGACCCACTCACCCCTGCGCACAGGGGCCTCGGGGTTCACAGGTGTGATTTGGTAAGGAGCATTTTAATTGTTAATCCACATTTTTCAGTAAGTTGATCAGAAATATAACATTGTATTTTCATTCCATTTTCTCTTGCGCCTTTTTTTTTTTAGGTTGATTTTCTTTGGAATGGAAGGCAAGAGACCTCCCATCTGCTGGTTCGCTCCCCGCATGGCCGGCTGCTGCCAGGAGCCCGCCCAGGCCTCGCCCGTGGGTGCAGGGGCCCAGGCACTAGGCCACCCTCGTCTGCCCAGGCACTTGAGCAGGGTGGGCCACGGAGCAGCCGGCCTCCAACCTGTGTCCCTGTGGGAAGCCCTTTCCACGCCGCTGGTTGGTTCTGCTCCTCTCCCCATCCTGTGTCCCTCGTCCCCTCAGCACAACTCTTCACCCTCATGGCTGGGGACTTGACTGCCCTGCTGCCTCCTGCCCAACTCTGTGGGGAAAGCCCTGGCACCTGGCCGAGTGGACATGGCCTGTCCCCGTGTGGGTGTGGCCTGCAGCTGCCTGGGCCGGAGTCAGCCCTGAGGCGCCCTGGTCAGGGTCAGACCTCTTGAGTGTCCAGCAGGAGGCAGCAGTGTTCCGTCCAGCAGCCCTGGTCCTGGCCCTGCCCAGCCCTGGAGGCTGAAGCCGGAGGGCAGGGTCTGCCATGCACTCCAACCACCAGGCCAGGGCTCCTGACCTTCCCCAAGGTGTCTCCTTGAGGTGCGAAGACATGGCACAGGGCTGGCACCAAGTCCCACTGCTGTGATACAGCCGTCTGTACCACAGCCCCATCCTGCCAGCCCATCGCCCGCTCGGCCAGATGTGTAGGGAGGCCCTTTTAGCGGGCTCGGGTGGCCGCTGCCCCTGCATGCTGGCACAGCCCCAGCTCTCACAGGTCCCAGGCAGCCTCTGGACCCGAGGAGCTGGTCAGGCTGGAGGGAGCGGCCCCTCCCGGGTTGGGCACAGACTGGGGTGAGTTCCTGGTGTGAATTCCTGGTGTGCACCGCCGGTTACCATGGAGCAGCGCAGCCGCCTTGGAGGATGGGAGGAGGGGAGTGAGAGTAGAGGCGGGGCTTCCTGCATTTCAGGAAAGGGACCAAAGCAGGCCCTGGCACCCAGTCCCCGGAGCCCCAACTTGGCCTTCACCCTGCACCACACACTGCTATTACCCCAAGTCCACACTTCTCACAGGACCTCGGTTGCCATGCAAATGCTCCCTGCACACACCTGCTCCCTGCACACCTGCTCCCTGCACACACCTGCTCCCTGCACACACCTGCTCCCTGCACACACCTGCTTCCTGCACACCTGCTCCCTGCACACACAGCTCCCTGCACACACCTGCTCCCTGCACACACCTGCTCCCTGCACACACCTGCTCCCTGCACACACCCGCTCCCTGCACACACCTGCTCCCTGCGCACACCTGCTCCCTGCGCACACCTGCTCCCTGCGCACACCTGCTCCCTGCGCACACCTGCTCCCTGCACACACCCGCTCCCTGCACACACCTGCTCCCTGCACACACAGCTCCCTGCACACACAGCTCCCTGCGCACACACCTGCTCCCTGCACACACCTGCTCCCTGCACACACCTGCTCCCTGCACACATAGCTCCCTGCACACACCTGCTCCCTGCACACACCTGCTCCCTGCACACACAGCTCCCTGCACACACCTGCTCCCTGCACACACCTGCTCCCTGCACACACCTGCTCCCTGCACACATAGCTCCCTGCACGCACCTGCTCCCTGCACGCACCTGCTCCCTGCACGCACCTGCTCCCTGCACACACCTGCTCCCTGCACACACAGTTCCCTGCACACACCTGCTCCCTGCACACACAGCTCCCTGCACACACAGCTCCCTGCACACACCTGCTCCCTGCACACACCTGCTCCCTGCACCTGTGTGAGCACCTGGCCCTGACACTGAGGCCTGTATGAATATGCACTAGATCAGTGCGAGCACACGCTCCCCTTCCACCCTCACCTGCTGGGGGATTTCAACCCCAGGGGAGCCCGAGGGCAGCCATAGCTGTGTCCTCCCCGCATCGCATGTGTGCAGTCCGCCCCTGCTGTCCTCACACTGCAGGCTCCTGCCCCACCAGCCTCAGCCCCGGACCCCAGGTCTTCTGTCCCCAATCCTGGGTCCGCCCCGCCACCCAGGTCCTCACCCTGACCCTGAGTCCCCTGCCCCGACCCCTGGGCCCCGGGGTTGCACTCACAATGACCGCCTGGCACACGTGGCCGCGACACAGCTCCGAGTAAGCCGAGTAGCGCCCATACAGCAGCCAGCTGCCCGCGAAGATGCCCAGCCACAGCAGGAAGGCGTACTTGACCCTGAGGCCAGGGAGGCGCCCCTGAAGGGAGGGGTGCGTGAGGAGCCAGTCCCCCAGTGACCCGAGCCTTCCCCACAACCAGCGCCCCCTCCCAGAGCTCAAGCATCAGAGGGAGGTGAGAGGTGAAAGTCATTTCCAAGATGGGGTGTTCTTGGGGGCCCCTCTCTTCCCTGCACCTCACTGGGCAGCACTTTCGCTTCTGTGTGTGGTCAAGAGAAGGCCACCCTCCCCCGACAGGCCCTGGGGGTCTCTCAGTTTTCCATTGTTATACAAGAGCCAGAGGAACAGAGAGGCCTCCTGCATCTGTGCTTCACCCCACAGCAACCAGGGCTGGGCCAAAGCCAGGAACAGGGGCTCCATCCGGGTCCCCATGTGGGCGAAGGGCCCAGCTCTGCTGCCTTGCAGGGTGCAGGAGCAGGGTGGCAAGCACAGGAGCCAGGACGCCAAGACGAGACACAGACGCCCAAGCAACAACTGAACCACGGAGCTCCTCAGCTGCGCCCCGTGCTGCCCACCGCGGCCGTCCCTGCCAGCGGGAGCTGGTCACGGGGCAGCTCCACTCCGGGAAGTGAGGGAGCCATGAGCGTAGGGAACATGCCACACGCCAGGGGGTGGCACAGGCAGCTCCTGCCCCCTTAGAGCCCCCAGCCCAGCCCCCAGGACCAGCTGTCCCAAAGGAAGCCCCCAGCCAGCACCAGAGCTCTGCAAAAGGCTGACAGCCAGGGACTGGCCACGTCACCTCCTGGGACCTCCAGGAACGCTGCTCGGGCAGAACCCGGTCAGCCCCAACCTCACGCGAGGCTCGCAGGCAGCAGGCTGGACAGACCCACGCTGCCCTCCCGGCCAGCCCCAGGGTAGGGTGCCCTGCCTGGTGCCTGGGCCTCACCGAGTCTGTCCTGGCTCCCTCAGGTCAGGTGGGGGAGCCCAGGTGAGTGTCCTCCACAGTTCCCAGGAGCCTCCTGGGGGACAGGGAGCACTCCCAGAGCAGACTGCTGGAGGGCGGGCAGGGGAGCTCTGGGGACAGCCGGGACCTCGTGCCCCACCAGGACCCAGGTTGTGGTGAGTGGCCCCATGGCTGGGGGCATCGGGCCAACCCCCTACTCCTGGGCCCCACTCAGAGGACAGAGCAGGGTGGGCCACCCTGGGCCTCCCCCATGGCTGGGCCAGGACAGAGTCCCTCCATGTGCAGCCTCTGGGTCTCCCCAGAGCGGGGCCTGGGCTGACCAGGCCCCAGGGGAGGCCAGGACTCTGCAGGACCCTCAGGGCCTGGCTCTGGCGCAGTCTGTGTGGAGGGAGAGCGCGTGGGCGGGTCGGGGGCGTCGCCTCCCCGCGATGTGGGGGCGAGGGAACCTTGCATCTAAGAGTGGGGGCCGGCGATTTGCACCAGGCCATCCAGGCCAGGCTGTCCACCAGAGCAGGTGCCAGCTTCACCCAGGCAGAGCGGGGGCCAGCCCCCCAATGCTCCACAGGACTGTCCAAGGTCGTGGGGTGCAATGGGGGGAGGCGTTTCTCTGCTCCCAGGTCGCCACAGCAAAAAAATCAAACGTTATTTCCAAGCAGAGAAAAGAAAAGGCTTCCTGGGGCTTCTAGGCCAGGATGGGGGCAGGGGCGCCGGCTGGCAGCCCCAGGGGCGGCCACTTCCCTCCCCTCACCCCGCCAGACGTCATTAACCCCTGCGCGCCGAAGCGGGGGCCCGGATAGCGCCCTCCCGGGCAGGCGGGCGGAGGTCCTCCCGGCCACGGCCACGGAGGGACAGCACGGCCGGCGAGGACGCGCGGGCGCCGGGCGGAGGAGCGGCCGAGGGGGCTCGGGCACCGGGGGGCGCAGGGCGCAGCGGGGAGGAGGGGAGCGCTGGGGCGCCGGACGCCGGCTTACCTGCAAGCCCTTGGCAAAGGGGCAGAGCAGCAGCAGGTGCGCCCGGCGCCGGAGCCGCCGCATGGTGAGCGCGCTCGGCCGCAGGCCCGGCCCGCCACGGCCGTCGCCCGGTGGCCGTGCGGGCCGCGCGTCCGGGGCCGGCGGAGAGGCGCGCGCCTGCCGGGGCCGGCGGGGAGGAGGCGCGCGGGAGGCCGAGGGCGCCGGGCACGCCCAGGCCCCCCGCACGGGCACCGCGCCCGCAGCTCCCGCGCTCGCGGCCGGTTCCGGGGCGGCTGCCCACGCCGCGACGCCCGCAGCTCCGCCGGCCGCGGCTCAGCTGCGCAGCCGCGGCCCCCGTGCGCCCGACAATGGCAGCCCGCAGGAGCGCGCGGCGCCTGGCTCCGGGGGCGCGGGGAGGCGCGGGGCGCGCCCCCGGGCAGGACGGCGCGGACCCCGGCAGCGCCCCTGGCCGCGCGTCGGCGGCGGGCGCGCGGGTCGTGGCGGGCAGCACCCTCCTCCGGCCGTGGCGGGGGCGCCCGGCGGGGTCTCCCGGGCCCGTCCCAGGCCTGACCTCGGCCCATTTGCCCGCAGCGTCTTTGGGGGAAGCAATGGGTGTTGGGGAGGCGCCCTGGACGGAGCCGGACGCGCGGGCATTTCGGAGCATCGTTCTCCTGGTTCATTTATTTTCTTGGGAAGATTGCACCTGCGCAGGGAGGGGGCCGTGCGGCTGGCTGGAAGCAGGAGCCTTCCGCGGGTCTCGCTCGGCTCCCTGGGTTCTTGGACCACCGTCCGCCGTCCCCCACCCCAAGCCTGAGGCTTAGGGAAGCTGGCGTGACCCAGGCGCAGCTGGGGGCGGGGTGGGGGGCTGGCTGCTGAACTGCTGCCCCCAGTCCCGGCGGGCACTTCGGGATTTGGTGAGATCCATCTTCTGTCCGCTGGTTCACTCCCCACGAGGCTGCAACAGCGGAACTGAGCTCCAAAGCCAGGAGCTGGGGGCTTCTTCCGCTCTCTGACAAGGATGCAGGGTCCCAAGCGCGCGGCCTTCCCCGGGCAGTGAGACCACCCAGGCCTCGGCCACCGGCAGGTGCACACCCATCTCCTAACAGAGACCACCACTAGGGAACATCTTACCGCCCAACAAGGAGGGGTCAGCGAATGCTTAAAACCCAACACCTGGGCCCGGTGCGAGGCCTGGCAGCTACAGTCCTTGTTTTGAATGCACCTGGTTCCCAGGTGGGCGCTGGTTCTAATCCCGGCTGCCCCGCTTCCCATCCAGCTCCCTGCCTCTGGCCTGGGAAAGCAGCCGAGGACGACTCAAAACCTTGGGACCCTGCACCCGTGTGGGGGACCTGGAGGAGGTTCTGGCTCCTGGCTTCAGATCGGCTCAGCTCCCGCCATTGCGCTCACTTGGGGAGTGAATCATCGCACGGAGTGTCTCTCCTCCTCTCTATATCTGACTTTCCAATAATAATAAATCTTTTTTAAAAATCCCAAGATCCTTCCTCAAGCCTTTGGGGTTTCTCTGCCTTGCAGAGCCCCCACCTCCTGGCTTGCTCCTGGGAGGGGCTTCTCCCATCCCCCTCCAGCCCTGCTCACCTGGCCCCTTCGCAAATAAACTTTTCTGTCTGCAGCTGCTTTGGGCATTTTATTTCTATAATAAGCTGAGGAAGGAGCCCACCGCGCGTCTCTGGTAACAAGCAGGAAGCTGGATCCAAAATGCAGCAGAACTGGGATTCAGTACCAGGATGGGGATGGTGGTGGGTGGTCTGTGAGGAGGTGGGGAGGGCGTGGTGGGTGGTCTGTGAGGAGGTGGGGGAGGGGCGCGGTGGGTGGTCTGTGAGGAGATGGGGGAGGAGTGTGATGGGTGGTCTGTGAGATGGGGGAGGGGCGCGGTGGGTGGTCTGTGAGATGGGGGAGGGGCGCGGTGGGTGGTCTGTGAGGAGATGGGGGAGGAGTGTGATGGGTGGTCTGTGAGGAGATGGGGGAGGAGTGTGATGGGTGGTCTGTGAGATGGGGGAGGGGCGCGGTGGGTGGTCTGTGAGATGGGGGAGGGGCACGGTGGGTGGTCTGTGAGGAGATGGGGGAGGAGTGTGATGGGTGGTCTGTGAGGAGATGGGGGAGGAGTGTGATGGGTGGTCTGTGAGGAGATGGGGGAGGGGCGCGGTGGGTGGTCTGTGAGGAGATGGGGGAGGGCGTGGTGGGTGGTCTGTGAGGAGATGGGGGAGGGCGTGGTGGGTGGTCTGTGAGAGGTGGGGAGGGGCGTGGTGGGTGGTCTGTGAGGAGATGGGGGAGGGGCGCGGTGGGTGGTCTGTGAGAGGTGGGGAGGGCGTGGTGGGTGGTCTGTGAGGAGATGGGGGAGGGCGTGGTGGGTGGTCTGTGAGAGGTGGGGAGGGGCGTGGTGGGTGGTCTGTGAGGAGATGGGGGAGGGGCGTGGTGGGTGGTCTGTGAGATGGGGGAGGGGCGCGGTGGGTGGTCTGTGAGATGGGGGAGGGGCGCGGTGGGTGGTCTGTGAGGAGGTGGGGAGGGCGTGGTGGGTGGTCTGTGAGGAGATGGGGGAGGGGCGCGGTGGGTGGTCTGTGAGATGGGGGAGGGGCGTGGTGGGTGGTCTGTGAGATGGGGGAGGGGCGCGGTGGGTGGTCTGTGAGGAGGTGGGGAGGGCGCGGTGGGTGGTCTGTGAGATGGGGAGGGCGCAGTGGGTGGTCTGTGAGGAGATGGGGGAGGGGCGTGGTGGGTGGTCTGTGAGGAGATGGGGAGGGGTTAGTGGGTGGTCTGTGAGGAGATGGGGAGGGGTTAGTGGGTGGTCTGTGAGAGGTGGGGAGGGGCGTGGTGGGTGGTCTGTGAGAGGTGGGGAGGGGTTAGTGGGTGGTCTGTGAGGAGGTGGGTGGGGCACACACAGCACCCAGGGGCCAGAGTCGGTGACGGCCAGGGTCTTCCCACTCCCCCCACCCCGGGTGGGTCCCTGGACTTGGGGCTCACCCAGCCCAGGGCGGCTCCTCTGCAGAGCCCACGGCCCCGTTTCCCAAAGGCCCTGCTCCCTTGTTCCCGGCCTCTCGGGGGACACTGCTTTGGGGGACACCGAGTTGGCAAGCACTGGACAAAACTGCACTACCCTGCAGTCCATGCAGCAGCCCCCACTCACGGGCCCGGATATCACGTCCCAGCCCCCTCCATAGCGCCCAAGTTCTAGAACCTTCCAGGCTATTTCCTGCCAGCGTGAGTCCTGGGGAGTGTCCGGCTCACCCACGCACCTCCCGCCTCCTCGGGCAGTGTCCCCGCGCCCGCTCGCGTCTGCCCAGGTCACGGCTGGTCCCGCACGCGCCCGAGGGGATGCTGTCTGCGTGTGTGTTACGTGTAATGAGTGTGTGTGCACACTGCATGTCCGTATCGTGGGGTCTCCTGCCTGTCCCGCGTGCCACACGACTCACGCCAGAGAAGGACCTCTCCATGACACCCAGCACCTGCGGGTGGGGCCTTGTAGGGGACAGGGTCCTCATGGGTGTAACCAAGGTGACAGCTCCTGACCGCCAGCTGGGCCCGCCGTCCAGGGGCGGTGCTGCTGTGACAACCGCACAGGCGGCTCGGAGCCACGGGGGCAAGGAGGGACATTTCGCAAGAGTCCGTGGACGGCATGGGTGCTTTCCGCCCCGTGGCAGGAGCTGAGTGCAGACAGCGTGGCTGCGTCCCGTCCTGTGGAGGGAGCTGAGTCCCCCGGCAGCGTGGACTTTTCCGCCCTGTGCAGCTGCCCAGCCTGCATCTCCTGGCAAGACCATACCCAGTTCAGCACTGGCCCCAGAGCACAGAGCAAGGGCCTGGGCCAGAAGCCCTGGAAGGCCCCGCCGGCAGCCCTCTGACCGCCCTGCCAGCGCTGCAGGCACAGCCCCCTGCCGGGCACCTCGGAGTGGCACAGAGGGCGACCCCCACCTGAGCTCTGAGCCCAAGGCTGCCTGGCCACACAGCGACCAGCAGCCATGGTGGATCCCCAGGGCTTCAGCCAGGGATGCCACCTCGGAAAAGGCCCAGTAGAGGGAGCCAGCCCAGGTGGGAGTGCCCAGTTTGAGTCCCGGTTGCTGCACTGCTGGTCCCTGCTGATGCCCCCGCCGGCAGAGGAGGGGGCAGACACGGACAGAGGCCAGGCCCTGCCTGTGGGGGGGCACACACGAGTGCTGTCACCTGGGAAGGGCGTGCTCTGCACCTGGGGGCTCGCAGACCTGCCGCTGTTGACCCCCGGGGGGGGGCTGCCTGCAGGCTCAGTGTGCGTGTGTCAGAGCGTCACCACCCCCTTGGGCCCACGCAGTCCCGCACTCGGCGGCCCACGAGACCTCCCGCAGGCTGACCTCCTGGCTGGCACCCCACATGCGAGCGCCTGTTGAGTCCCGGCTGCTCCACTTTGGTCCTACCCCCGGGGACGGATCTGGGAAAGCAGGGAGCACACCGCAAGCACCGGGGTCCCTGCACCCCAGGCCCCCGTTGTTGCCCTCTGCGGCCTGACATCTTCCCTATCACTCAGCCTCCACAATAAGCACATGAAACATACTGCTCAGGCCCGGTCACAGCCCACGCGTGGCCCTGGAGCGGGCCTGTCCACCAGGGGGCAGTGCTGCCCAGGCCGCACCGAGCCGGGCTGGCGGATCCTGGCCAGCTCCAGCCCAGGGCGCTGGGCGCCACTGTGTGAGTCCTGAGAGCAGCGTTAGGGCCTGCAGGCGCACAGGAGATGCACTTCCTGTCTGGCTGAAATTCAAACCCTGCTTTTGCTCACTACCTCCAGTGACCCCTGCTGGGGCAGGACAGGTGGCCGTGGGGCTGCCCACCCGGCTCAGAGGGGGCGGGACCAGGTGGGTGGTGGGGGGCAGCTCCTGGACCGACCTTGCCTCTCGCCCAGATACGGGAGGGCCCCAGGACTCCCCAAGACAAGAGTGTCAAAGGCGGGGGACCGGTCTGCTTCCTCAGGGAGAGCCAGCTGTCCCACCTTCTGGACGCCTGTGGTCCTGGGCGTGCTCTGGCTCCCCCTGCCCCTGGGGCCTGTCCCCCTGCACTGCCAGGCTGAAGCCGGGAGCCTGGGAGCCCGGGGTCACCCGCAGGATGGC